CGCGGGTGTCAGCGGGGCCGTGTGACAGCGCTAGTCGAGTAGGATTACTACCTTCGGGGGGTGGGGAGTTAGGAACACTTAGTCGCTGATGTGCGAACATTTTATGCAAATCATTTAATGACCTAATTTGCATATAACCATAAACTTCTGTTAAAAAAAAATCCCCAAAAAACAGAAAAGCCATCTCTGTGTTTGGACTCGGTGCTGGGGCAGCACGGTGAGGAGGGTCCCGGGCAAGCGGGACCTGCTGCCCCTGTGAGCCTTCCCATGCCGCCTGCCGAAGCCACGCTCCCCTCTCAGCCAGGAGCTGTGCCAGGTGCCGGCCACGCTGTGCCGAACTGGCAGCGATGCCCACCGTGGCGCTTGCGGGGGTGGCGAGCCGCCTGCGTTGGACATCTGAGGATTAATCCTGCCCTTGCGAAGGCAGCCCCTTGTAGGGCCGGGGGGGCCGTGTCCTCCCCCTATCCTCCTCCCCGGTCCACCCCGCAGACAGGCAGCTGCCTGATCCCCCGGCAGTGGGGCCATGTGAGCAGCTGCTGCCCGTGGGGAGACCCCGCTCCCCTGCCCTGCCTCCCCGCAGCACGAGTCGTGGGTCCTGCCCCCTGTCCTCTCCCAGCTCCCCACATAGCCTCAGGGAAGTTCCCGAGCCTCCTCTGCCGCCCCGGTCCCTGCTCGCTTGTGCCAACGCTGCTCGGCTGCTGTGTCATGCTGCTAATTCGCCGCCTGCCTGCGGTTCCTCCCTGCTCAAATCCCTGGTGCTGCCGGCACGCTGCCGCGCTGGCCTGCCCTGCTCCTGAGCTGCCCCGAGCCGGCCGGGGGAGCATGCGGGCAGCCCCCTGCGATGCAGCCTGCCTGGGCTGGGTGCTGTGCTGTGATACAGGGTCGTTTGCCCCATGGGTTCCTCCCTGCTCAAATCCCTGGTGCTGCCGGCACGCTGCCGCGCTGGCCTTCCTGAGCTGCCCCGAGCCGCGAGCCGAACCCAGGCTCGGCACCGAGCTTCACCCCACTCATTTGGGGGAGCCCAGCACCCTGGGATCAGGGCTGGGGGGAACATGACCTACAGCCTCGGGCTGTGTTGTCCGTGCTCGGAACCAGCAGCCTCGGCTGCCTGCGTGGTTCTGGGGTGGTGGGGTAGCGGGCACAGCTCGGGCACAGCATGTATGGTCCCCCAGGCAGCGTGCAGGGTCTCCAGGGAGTGTGCAGGGCCCTGAGCAGTGTACAGGGTCCCCAGGCAATGTGCAGGGCCCCCTGGGCAGCGTGCGGGGTCCCCAGGCGGTGAGCAGTGTCTCCAGGCATTGTGCAGGGTCCCCAGCAGCGTGCAGGCTCCCTCGGGCATGTGCAGTGTCCCCAGGCGGTGTGCAGGATCCCAGGCAGCCTGCCAGGTCCCTAGGGAGCGTGCAGGGTGCCCAGGCAGCGTGCAGGGTTCCTGGCATCATGCAAGGCCCCCCAGGCAGCGTGCAGGGTGCCCAGGCAGCGTGCAGGGTTCCTGGCATCATGCAAGGCCCCCCGGGCAGCGTGCAGGGTCCCCAGGGCATGTGCAGGGTGCCCAGGCAGCATGCATGGTCCCTGGCATCATGCAAGGCCCCCTGGGCAGCGTGCAGGGTCCCCAGGGAGTGCTCAAGGTCCCCAGGGAGCTCCAGCCCCACACACCCTGCCGCCTCCTCCAGCTGCAGCCCACATTTGCATGACAGCACAGCTAAAAAGCCCACCCTGGGCTGATGCCCCC